AACGTGGGACTCAAACTCACAAGCAGTGAGATCATGACCCAAGTGGAAGTCCAAACCTTAACCAACTGAGTCACCCAGGCACCCTCACCCATTTATTCCTTAGTAGAATATTCTTCAACTTACATGTATTTGTGGTCTTTTCAAATTTTTTCTTGTAGTTGACTTCAAGTTTCATAGTTTGAGAGAGAGAACCAGGCAGGTACAAGGTGCAGAGAGAGGAATTGAGGGAGAAAAAAGCCATGGTGCCATGGAGAATAGGGAGCTCTTTTTGAGAAGAGAAGGAGAGATGGGAGAGAGGTTGCATCGCAATAGGTGGATGCAAGAAAATCACTCCCCCAAAACCACTGAATGGAAGATTGGGAAGAACTTTTGCAAGTTCCCGCAAATAGTGGAGTTCAAACTCTTAGGTTTTGGAAGTTCATACCATTCCCTGGAATCAATTTATGTGGGTCGCAATGCTTCAAAAGAGAAGGTCTGGGGCCTGGGAGCAGATAGCTGACACCATGGTGTGGGGATCAGCTGGGTTGCAAATTCCCCTTCTTGGACTGCATTTGGAAGAGGGTATATTGACTCTCCATGGACAAAAGACCCATATGGAGCTTTTGAGCAGCATTCAACAGCAGGTGACAGAGGCACCTGTAGTAGGCAGATAACCTGGCTGCAACTTTTCGCTGTGTTTCACCATAGCCTCCAGGCACCTGCGTGGCAGTGAGACTGCCTTTCTGGGACAGAACAGCACCAGGTGCAGCACTGTGAGGTTCATCGCAGGAAGAGGGGAGTGGGTCTGTGTCTTGCCAGGTCCTTTAAGATCTGGAGTTATGAAATCCAACCACGCACCAGAGATAAAACATAGGAGAGCTGTCATGCCAGTCATGTCAACAGCCCAGGCACAGATACGTTGAGGGCAAGGATATGATGGAGGCTTGGGACACAGGAGGGGAGATTGTTTGCTTGTTTATGAGAGTTCCCTGAACAGTGGAAGGCACCAGCTCCTCACCCCAGTGACCATCTCTCCCAACCTGTCACCAGTGTGGCTGGACTTTAGTGAGGATCACAGCACCTCCAGTGGAGGCTGGTGTCACTTACACCAAACCCTGCCCCATGTGCCCTGCAGAGACATCTTTACAAGAGCAGGTCTGACTGTGAGCCAGTGCAGTGGGCCTCTCACCCACAGGACCAACACGGGCACCCCCCTCACGCATGAAGTCTACTGATCATAGAGTTCTCCAAAGCCTCAGCTTCAGTTCTTCGCCTCTGGAGGAAATAGGAGCAGGCTTTTAAAAAAGTTATTCTTTTCTCCTCTCTCTCTCTCTTTCTCTGTCCCTCTAATCAGGCTTATAGTTTTTTGTTCATTTGTTTGGTTTTGTGGGGTTTTTTTGGTGTCCTTTTCTCAGATTTTTGGATTAGTCTAATTTTTTTATTTATTTCTTTTTCTTTAGAATCAGGCTTATAGAGTTTTGTTTGTCTATTTGGGGGTTTTTTGTTCCTTTTCTCTTTTTTTTTTTGGATCAGGCTTTTTTTTTTTTCTTCTTCAAATCAGGATTATTTTAACAAACAAATCAAACCACATCTAGTAAAAGATCCAAACACTCCCCAATGTAAGCAAGGGGGAACTCTGCAGAAGACCAACTTGGGGGAAAGAGCAACCAATCACAACAGCAGAGAGCACACAGCTAACATCAGAAATACTTCCTGAATATAAACAAGTACTTTTTTAATTACAAGAAATTTGAAATCTCTCACTGACAAAGGACAAGTTGTCCTGTGTCTGGGAATTAAATCACTACTCTTTTCCTAGGTTCTAGCATATGCATTCAGATCTGATATTCTATGAATTGTCCCAGCTTTCATCCATGTGGCACCTAATCTAAGCATGCTGAATTCATAGTATAACTATTTGAATAATATTTTGGAAGGCAGAGGTCTTAGCATTGAGTTATCATTTCTATTAGACTACACAGTGATACATTTTCTCTGGATTGTGCCTTATTCTGATGAAGAGAATTCTGTTTTTTGTCCCAGTTTCCTCTGTATAACTTCAGTTTATAGGACTGTTTTACTTCCTTGGCTTAAACTCAAGTTCCTATTACAATAGTCTGCCTAGTGCTTCAAATCCTATTCTAGGTTTGGGTCCTGACTTTCTGCCAAGTGTTCACTGCTTTGGACATAAGTGTGTAAAAGTTGCATGTGAACACAGCAATTCAAAGCTTTAAAAATATATGTTTTAAATATAAAGATTTTGCCAATCTACCCTGGAAGACATGACTGTGTCAAATTTTCTCAGTCATGGGTTGTACATGCTTTAAATCCCATGATGTAGCCCTTTTTATGCATTCAGTGTTTGAGTTTTGTAACAGCTAATTGGAGAGATCTTGGTTTGCTATATAATGTGACCCCGGTAGAGATTAGTCTTGAAAGTTTTTGGTTCCTTGATGAGAAGATGTTATATATGATAGTATTTAAACCAGTAGATTTTTATTAGTTTCTAAGAGATAGTAGCTTAAGTTTACTTTGGCATAGTATATCTTCATATTCATAAGACCTACTGTTGCTATCCAGTTACTCACATTTTAAACCAAGTCATTTTATTAAAGTTGGAATGTGCAAGAGAATGGGATTTTGGGGAGTTCTTTCCCAAGTGACAAAGGAAGAGGTTACTTACAGTAAGAGCCTAGTTGGATCTTGACATTCTTTTTTGTTTATTTTACTTATGTATATTTTTACTTTTAAGAAACATTATTTCTAAATAGAATGTTGATTATGTGCTTTTTAACTTATTTATTTATTCATTTATGTATGTATGTATGTATGTATTTATCTTGAGAGAGAGAGAATGAGCAAGGGAGGAAGAGAGAGTCAGAGAGAGAGAATCCCAAGCAGGCTTCTCAATGCAGAGCCTCACATAGGCTCAATCCCTCAAACTGTGAGTTCATGAACTGAGCTTAAATCAAAGTCAGATGTATAACCAACTCAGCCACCCAGGTTCCCCTTAACTATTGCTTCATAAGTATGTGAGTACACGTTTATTTTTCAAATAGTAGCTCATAGTGATATCTAGGAGCAGAGGAATGAAACACCAATTATTCTTCTTCACTGTGAGATGGAGAAGATGAAGAAATGGACCGAGTTGTGCTAAGTAAAAGGTTAAGTAGTCCAAGAATGAATCCAGGTGCTTCAGTTAAGGCTAAAAGACCCAGATTTGGGGGAGAATATTGAGTGAGACTTTTGAGATTTTCCTTCCATGGTCTAAACAAGGAAACACCCTGATAAGTTGTTATTGAGGCACAAAATCTCTTCCTCTCTTCCTTCCTTCCTTCCTTCCTTCCTTCCTCTCTCTCTCTCTCTCTCTTTCTTTCTTTCAGTTTATTTTTAAAATTTACATCCAAATTAGTTAACATATAGTACAACAATGATTTCAGGAGTAGATTCCTTAATGCCCCTTACCCAGTTAGCCCATCCTTCCTTCCACAACCCCTCTGTTTGTTCTCCATATTTATGAGTCTCTTATGTTTTTCTCCCCCTTCCTTTTTTTATATTATTTTTGTTTCCCTTCCCTTATGTTCATCTGTTTTGTATCTTAAAGTCCTCATATTAGTGAAATCATTTGGTATTTGTCTTTCTCTATTTCGCTTAGCATAATACCCTCTAGTTCTATCCATGTAGTTGCAAATGACAAGATTTCATTCTTTTATATTGCTAAATAATATTCCAATATATATATATATACACACACACAAAGCACATCTTCTTTATCCATTCATTCATGGACATTTGGGCTCTTTCCATACTTTGGCTATTGTTGATAGTAAAAGCTCATATTTAGAAAGGATATTTTAAAACAAACTATTCACTATTCTCAGGGATAGGAGATGAGTGTATACCATAAAACACAATGAGACCACCTCATTTATTCCCAATGATCCCTGTTTTTGATAGTTGTGCAGGACTTACAATTCAGACTTTAAGTCTCTATCTAGAGCTTAGAAATTGTCCAGTTAATATGAAAACATATTCTGAATATGTTCAGATACTATATTTTTCATATTTAAATTATTATTACAGGATTATGTATAACAATACTTGCAATCTTTATTGTTATTTTCATTTTTTTTAGAGAGAGAAAGAAGGCACAAGTGAGCAAGGGGCAGAGGGAGACAGGGAGAGAGCGATAAGCAGAGCTCACATGAAGCTCCAAAGTGGGGCTCATGCTCACCCAAAACAGGGCTCAAGCTCACCCGATGTGGGACTGAACTCAAAAACTGTGAGATCATGACCAGAGCCTAAATCAGATGCTTAAACAACTGAGCCACTCAAGAACACAATCCTTGAATTTCTAACTCATTAGAAGAACTGTATTTTCATATCATAAACTTTGACACCCTGGATCCAAAAGATAAATGTCCAGAGCAAAAACTGACTGGGGAGGAGAATTTATGAGTATCTTAATCAAATATATTACTAATTATTGCACAAGTGACAAATCCATGCAAGAACCCTGTCTTCTTGCAAAACTCATTTTGAATCACCACCCATTGGAGACCTGATTAAGATCAGCAGTAATGTTCCATCATTCAGGACTGATATTTCACTCCTATGTCTTTGTCTCCAGTATGCTCCCTTCTGTGGAAATAAGAATAAGAATGCATTATATTCTGTAAGCCAGAATATCCACAGTTGTATATTCAAGAATGCAAAGGCATGACATACGAATAACTGTATATTCAGGAGGATAAATTTCTCACTTAAGAAACTGCCCCCAAAGGATTCCCAATATTTTGTCAAAATAGAATATTTTAGGGGAAAAGCAAAATGAGTCAATGATATTTTTAAAGGAGAAATGAGAAAAACAATTAAACTTACAATGAAATTTAAGTTTTATTAAAGAAGACAGAATATGCAATTTACCTACTCTGAGATTGCAACTCATACATATGAATTTCAACACGGTCACCCATTATTGATTATACGATATTAGGAATGCAGAGATCCAGTTGTCCTTATTACCACCCTTTCTTTAGTAATCTCTGGATTCCTTGCTTGATCTCCTGAGTTCTCACTCCATACACAATAGGGTTGACAGCTGAGAAGATGACATGGTGGAGGATATTGAGCAAGACTGGCACATCAGAGGGAACCTTCTTCTTCACCATAAGAGTGAGCACAAAGACCACAAGGATGGTGCTAAAGAAGAGGATAAGGATGAAGTGGGAACCACATGTGCTCAGGGCCTTGGCCACAGCACCCTCAGCCTTGATTCTCAGCACAGCTCGCAGTATGAAGATGTAGGAGAGAAAGATGAGGATGAGGTCAGATCCTAGCACAGTCCATCCGATACCAAACTGGTAAAGGCGATTGATGGTAACATCATCACAGGAGAGCCTGGAGACAGCCATATTAGTGCAGATGCAGTTCTCAATGACATTTCTCCCACAGTAATGGAGCCGAGATGACAGAATGGGGATAGGCATTGTAACAATACTACTCCTGGCCAAAATAAAGATGGCAGCCTTGGCTACAAATTGGTCAGTGATGATGGATGGGTACCTCAGTGGGTGACAGATGGCTACATAGCGGTCATAGGCCATGATCATGAATGTGCAGGACTCCATGGCAAAGAAACCATTCATGATGAACATCTGGAGGAAGCAGGCATAGAAGTTGATGGCCTTGAGGTCAAACCAGATGATGGCCAGGACCTTGGGAATGACAGTGAGACAGAGCACAACATCCAGCAAAGAGAGAATGCTGAGTAGGTAGTACATGGGCTCATGTAGAGAGGCTTCCAGCCAGATGGTGATCAGGAGAACACTATTGGCCCCCATAGCCAGGAAGAGGAGGAGGCTGAGTGGCAGGGACAACCAGAGCTGCCAGGTGTGGGACCTTACAAAGCAATTCAGGAGGAAGACTGAAACCTCAGAGGAGATGGTGCCATTTTGGTGTGCTGTCATATTTTGTCATATATTTCTACAGTTTTCTTTTAGTGGTCTGTAAAATTAGGAGAAAAATTAGCTAGTGACACATGACACCTGGATTTAAAACAATTTGCTTCACCTAGGTGACATGTTTGAGTCTTAGCAAGTCATCCAGAGTCATGTGAAATCATCTGTTTATCCTTTGTGCCATGCTACTAGAATAATCCTATCACTTTCATCACTATAGAGGACTGAGGATATATTATTTGTTTATACATGTTTGATTTGTTTAACCATGTTGTATCTTTGCAGAAACTAAAGAGAAGGAGAGACTTGCCAAAGAAACATCTTTTTGACAAGTGTGTCCCAAATTGTTCTTATAAGTGTCTTCCTTTTTGTTATTCGTTCTTTAATGATCATATAGATTACCACATGATAATTGAATTGTAGTAATAGACACAGACAAGGAGTAGAGCCTGGCACAAATATGGACTCAGTTAAGTGTCCCTAGTTCTCCCTGCCACCCTCGTTCTGAGTTTTCATCTGTAGTTCGCTTTAACTACAAAGTTAAACAATGTTGCCCTGTAAATAAAGTACTTAATCTTCATAATCTCTGAACAGTCATTTAATGAGGTAGATGGGGATCCTGCCAAACAGTCAGTATTTTCCTCCTCTAAACATCTTCATATATGTAGGATTCTTAGCTTTGGAAGGAAAGAACCTTAAGAGGAAAAGGAGAAATTTCACATAGCTATGTGAGACCCACACCTGTTTTCAGACAAGGTGAAAGTTTGATTGTTCTGATTGCAATAGGGTGATGAAGTCTTAACTTTAAAGTTCTTGCATCCCATTTCAATTTTATTTTTCCATCTTCAGTATAAGGATCCAGGTACACGTTCCCCTGCTTCCAGGCACAGTTCAATGTTGCCATGTTCTCTTAGCACTTAACATCCTCCCCTGGCATTCTGTTAGGTGCTAGGGTCACAACATTGAAAAAGAAACTGTTCTTACTCTCAGGAGACAAAAGTGAAACCATTCAGGGGACAATGAGTAGTAATAAGAACAAATGACAGGTCGTGCACAAACTATCAGGAGAGCATGGGTGAGGCTGAGTAACCCGGACATGGGACAAGGGACAAGGGACATGAGCCAGAGAAACAAATTGTAAAGAAAGTCAGGTGGTTCTCTTCTTTGCATTAAGGGTGAAGTCCCCTTCTGGGAATTACTCTCAGAGGGGGAATAGGGGCCTTCCCTTCCAGGCTTCCTCCATTCACTTCTGATCTTCTGCTTCCTTATGCAAGGGTTTGTGCAGCTGGTGTCTGCCAGGCATGGCTCCCACATGCTATGTAGAAGAGATTTAGATGGCTTTCCAATTCTCATTCTCTTGTTCATAGAACAAGTTAGTAGTGACTTTGGTGATTTGAGATGAATTTTAAACATATTATTTCATGTGTGACTCATAATACTCTGAAGTAGGTAGGTTAAGCGGACCATTTTAACAATTTATCTTTTGAAATGGCCAAATTAAGATTCTGTGATAGTATGTGTAGTTTCACAGTGTAATTAGGAGAGTTTGGATGTGGAAGAAATAAAAGTTAGGTATAAAGCCAGCGAATATTTGAATACACCTGTGTCACCACAGGGATGTAGAAATGCATATCTTACCTGGCATTTTGTTTTATTTGAGAGAGAGGTTTCTCTCTCTCATCTCCATGCCCATGCACTTAAAATCCTTAGGCAGTTTTCCAGAAATCTGGAATCTCTCTTTTCCGGGCACTTGCTATTTTGACTCCTGCTTTCACTACTCTGAAGGCATCTTTTTCTTAGTTTCCTTTTATGTTGTGTTTCTTAGCACTGTTTTTATTATTATTATTATCATCATCATCATCATCTTTAGTATTAGTACTTTTATTACTGTTGTCAAGACCACATAATTCCATAAACTCAGACTGACTTTGAACCATCTCTCTCAAATATTTTTTAGGAAGTTATTGAGTGCATCCAGTGACAGGTACTTCACTTATCTTCTGGGCATATTTTTTTACAGCATAGCTTTTAGAAATTCTTTAGATTAAGCTTAATCTGAGAAACTACCTTATTACTCCCTCAGACTCCCAATTGTGGTCTCTGTCTTCAACCTCTATGTTAGTTAGATTTAATTTAATTTAACTCCTCCACCATGATTCAAGCATTTGTGGGCATATATTTTGTCCTAAAGCCCCTATGTTTCAATATGTACAGTTGATTATTCCAAGTCATCTAAACTAACATCTAGGTGATGCACTCTCCAGGCTCCCATCCCATTCATCTCCTATGGACATATTCCTGCTTCTTAACATCTCTGGCACCACCCAGAAAAGATCCAAAAAGTCAAGAGAGTGGACAAAAAGGAAATTCCCTGAGCAAAGGTTCTCATTTGTGCCTCCTGACTTGAGACAGGATTCAGTCTCTACTACCCTCTTTTCAGATTACTTTAGCAGTACTGACTCAGGAATGGAAAGGAGCACTGATATGATAGAAGAGAAAGGTTTCTCCTCCCCCCCCACCCCCATGTTCTGGCTAATCTTGGTATAGCTGCCTCTCAGGGTGACTTACAGTGGATGTGAAGTATAGGGTCCACTGATACCAGAGTTCTGGTTAGTTCCTGAAATAATTGGGAGTAGTTATAACTCCAGAGCCTAAGGGATTTTGCCCTCCGGGAACTTCTCCATTCCCTAATTCCTGTTCTTAAAAGATCCTCTTAGGACATACATCCAGGCAGGTGGAAGAAAAAATATTATTTTCTTTCTCTGTAAAAGCAAGGAGATTCTTTTTTCAAGTTACTCTAGCATTATTATCATTATGATGCCATCATACAAGCCATGATAAGTTAACATCAGTCCATTTGAGAGTATGGTTTGGGAAGTATCTATCTAACAATCATGCGCATGAAGCCCATAATAACTTCTGAGTGAGCATATTGGACCCATGGAGGGCACAAGGGTCAATATCCAAAATCTGGAAAGAACTTGTCAAACCCAACACCCTGAAGAACAACAGCCCAGTTAAGAAAGGGGCAGAAGACATGAATAGATGCTTTTCCAAAGAAGACATCCAGACAGCTAACAGACACATACACACATTTTCAATTCCACTCCTCACCAAAGAAATACAAATCAAAACCACGTTGGGATACCACTTCACACCTACCAGAATGGCTAAATTAACAGCAAAAGAAACAGCAGATGTTAGTGAGGATGCAGAGAAAGGGGAACTCCCTTACCCTGTCAATGGGAATGTAATCTGGTGTAGCCACTCTGGAGGACAGTTTGGAAGTTCCACAGAAAACTAAGAATATCACTACCCTGTGATCCAACAATTGCACTATTAGGTATTTACCCAAAGGATACAAAAATACTTATTTGAAGGAGTAATTGCCCCTCCCCCAATATGTATAGCAGTGTTATCAACCATAGACAAACTATGGACAGAGTGCGAATGTCCATGACTGATGAATGGATAAACAGGATGCGGCGCACATATATATAATATGGAATATTATTCCACTGTCAAAAAGAGTGAAATCTTGCCACTTGCAATGATGTGGATGGAGATAGAATGTATCATGATAAGAAAATAAGCCAGTCAGAGAAAGACAAATACAATACGACTTCACTCATCTGTGGAATTCAAGAAATAAAACAGTAGAGCACATGGGAAGTGGAGGAAAAAGAGAAGAGGGGAAACAAACCACAAGAGATTCTCACTGATAGAAAACAATGGAGGGTTGATGGAAGGTGGTGGGTGGAAGATAGGCTAGAAAGGTGATGGATATTAAAATGGGCACTTTGTCTGAGGTGCCTGGGTGGCTCAGTCGGTTAAGCATCTGATTTCGGTTCAGGTCATCATCTCGCAGTTCATGGGTTCGAGCCCTGCATCCGCTCTGTGCTGACAGCCAGCTCAGAGCCTGGAGCCTGTTTCAGATTCTGTGTCGCCCTATGTCTATGACCTTCCCCTGCTCACACGGTGTCTCTCTCTCTCAGAAATAAATAAAAAACATTTTAAAAATGGGCACTTTGGGTGTAAGTGATGAATCACTGACTTCTCCTGAAACCAATATTGCACTGTATGTTCATTAAAATTTAAATCAATAAAATAATTTTAAAAATAATCCTGAGAAAATGCAATGTGTTTTTCAAAGTCAAAATCCTACTGTGATTTTTGCTGTATTGAAATATTTTTCACATGGGATGTATATACAACTGTATACCAAGAAACACAATTTTTTTTTCATTTTCATTTTGAGCCTCATGTGAATTATTCACTTCCTCAAATTATGGGAGCAAGCATCATTAGTTTCTTTTTTTTCTTGCTTTCCATCTTTAAAACTGATAGTAGTTGACACACAATGTTGCATTAACTTCAGCTGTAGAATATAGTGATTCCACGAATGTATACAGTTATGCTGCGCTCAACACAGGTGCAGCTACCATCTGTCACCATATAACACAATTATGATACCTCTGGCCATGTTCCCTTTGCTGTGCCATCAGCATCAGTCTTTTTAAAGGTTTTCCTTTGCTTTATTTTTATTTCTCTGTCAACTGCATATCTGAACTTCACTCCTGTTTCTCTTCTCTTTAGAAAAGTGAGAACTCCAGTGTTCTTCAAATGTGTCTTTCTAATTACTCTCAGGTATGCTTATGCAACTACATGTTCATCTATTGAGGGATGATTTGCATATTGAATTTTAAAAATGATATTGGATCATAAATCTGATGTTATTCTTTGTTTACACTCAACACTAAATCTTAATAACTGTCCATATTGCTGTGTGTAAGGTATTTTTTTTTTGATGGCTGTTCAATTACTATGATATGCATTTCCTTTTTTAATGTAAGTTATCAACATTAAAATAACCTATAAATAATTTCTTAACAAATATTGTAACTGTTAATATATTTGTATTCCTCTCTTGGAGTGCTTGGCTGTTCAAATACCATGTTATGTGTTTTCTTTTTTTATGTAAGAATCAACACCAAAATTAGCTATAATTA